CTGGAGCCGCGGAGAGAGGAGCTCTGTGCTTGACCGTGTGTCTCCCCATGTCTCTGCCGGATCCCCTGCCCAAGCCCCATGTGCTCCACGCCAGAGCCCTTGCTATGCAGCCCTGGCCATCACCCCTGCTTCAGGGCATAGGGATACAGTGTGGTGCTGCCACGACCCGGGGGCATGGCACAGGAGAAGGAGCTGCCAGAGTCAGCGTGGGCTTGGAGCAGCACTGACAGGGCTGCACCACGTGCCAGGATGTTGGATGAGGCTGCACCAGGATGCACCAGAGAGCCCCAGGGAGGGCCCAGCCCGTGGGCACCTGTGCCCCAACCGGTCCCTCAGTGTTTTCATGGGACCTGATTCATCCCGGAAGGGATTAGGGAGCGGGAAACTGGGTGACGTGCTGGTCTGACCAGGACCCAGGATGGACACTGGTGTCAGAGCCAGTCCCTTCTGCTCACTGCTGCATACGTTCCTGGGGGCACAGCAGAGCTGGGACCCATGGCAAGACCCATGGCCCTCGTGGTGTGGGGCACCATGTCTACCTGCCACGGTGAGTGTTGGTGCAGGGAGGGGGCACATGGGCATAGAGGGGCTGTGATGGGCATGGGGCTGGGGGTCAAGGTCAGCATTGGCCTTTGGGATGCTGCTGGGGGCTGTGGCCATCACTGCAGCCATGGCTGGTGGCACTGGGAGTCCCAGGCAAGTGGGCAACTGCTATTGAGGGCTCCATAAGGTGCGTTACCTGGGGCTATAGTCCATCTGGTGAGGTTGGCCATGGGTTCTATGTGCCCCTACGGTGCTGAGATGAGGCCCTGGCCTTCCTGGAGGGATCCCTGGGTCCTCTAGTCTGGATCTAGGAGGGCAGCCAGACCCCTGTCAGCTATAGCCCATGGCACTGTCCAACCAGAGGGGCTCACCCCAGCTGGGAGATGGTCCCACCAAGGGCAAGTTTGGGAGCTCAGGCTGTTCCTTCCCCGCAGCTGGGGCTTTTCAGAGAGGATTGCACAGTTCAGCTCTTGCTCTGACTGTCCTGACCTTCCCGTCACTTTCCTGAGGGCTGCCACGGCACCCCGGACACTCTGATCCCCACTGAAGATTGGGTGACCCTACACAGGGTCTCCAGAACCCTTCCCAAGGTGGGAACAGCTGCTGCTCCCCAGTGCAAGTGATTCAAGCCCTATTTGCCCTGGTGCAGCCTCCCTGCCCAGGATGGACTACTCCTCCAATACCCCCAGGCTGGGCACAGCTGAAGCCCCTTGTGACCCTGGCCCAGCTGAGTCTCTGTGTGTCCCCACATGCCATTCACACAGCCCCATGGGGAGCCCTGGCTGGTGCCCCCAGCTCCTGTGCACCCCAGGATTGGGGGCTGGCAGTGGGCAGCGTGGGACCCTGCCTTCCACCACTCCCACAATAAGGCACGAGTGGGAAACCACAGGGGAACAAGCTTCCCCTTTGAGTCACATCTTGGGCAAGGCTGGGCTTTTAGTGGCCAGAGTGCTGTGGTGTCCCCACACATGCTGATGTCACCCAGGACTCCCTGTCCCCGATATAAGTCCTGGCCGTGTTGGTGCATGAAGAAGGGGTCTCTGCGCCAGCTGCGTGTCCCCCAGCCATGTCCTCTGCTCCAGCCTCCAGGTCCCAGTACTGTCCTCAAGGCACCACGTGGATCTGCCTTCTGCTCCTGCTGCCTGCCTGTGTCCCTGACACCATCACCAACCCTGGCATCAACCCTGGCATTAAGGCCTGGCTGACCCGGAGGACACTGGAGTTTGGTGGGTCTATGCCCCTGACTGGGCAGGGTTGGGGAGAACAGTGGGAGATGATGCCCAGACTGCTGAGGATGGGGGATGGAGTGGACCAGTGGGCATCCCCAGGAACAATGCCCAGACTTCCAGGGATGGGGAATAGAGGGGCTATCGTGGACCTTACTGCTCACACCCCTGTGCCAGCCCATTCCTTGGTGTCACCCCAAATTCCCACTTTGTCCCAGGCCGGCGCTTTGGGCTGGAGTTTCTCCAGTCACTGCTGCAGAAGGAGCATGAGGTGAACCTGATGGGCTCCTATAATACCTCACTCCTGGGGACCCTCACCTACTCTGTGCCACGGTAAGAGCTGCCTGCGAGGTCCCTGTCCCCCTCCCTGTCCTGGTCACAGCTGTGAGCTCAGCCTGCCCATGTCTCACAGGATCCATGTCCACGAGCTGCATATGAATGACTCCACGCTAGATTTTGCTGAGGACGTGGGGCTGAGGCTGGTGGTGCAGCGTGCCCGAATCCAGCTTAGTGCCGACTGGGCAGCCCAGCTGGGCAGCATGTGAGTTCTTATGGGAACAGGGATAGGGACAAGGGTGACACAGGGTGACTCAATGTCATCCCTGTGCTCACCCACTGTGTCCCCAGCCAGGACAAGGGCTCCGTGGAGATCCGCATGCAGGACCTGGCTGTGGCAGCAGTGCTGGGGGTGAGCAAGGACAGCAGTGGCCGCCCCACAGTGTGGAATGCTGGCTGTGATGCCCATGGCACCGACCTGCACATGGAGTTTCACCGTGGACACAGGTGATGCCAAAACCTTTACTCCGTCCTGTCCCTGGCATGCAGGGAGTTCTGGTGCCCCAGCTGGGGTGGTGGGCTGGGGAAGTCTGGAGGTTGCCCTGGGATGATCTGAGCATCCCACTCTGCCCCACAGCTGGCTGTACAACCTGCTGGCACCACTGCTCCAGAGAACCCTGCGGCAACAGCTGAACAAGCAGGTGGGTACTTGGCCCCTGAGCCCTGGGGTGTTGGTGTGTCTGTCTCCCACAAAGCCCAGCAAGAGGCTTGAGGACCCCCATCCCTGAGCTTGTTGACACACTGCTCTACTTCCAGCTCTGCCTCGAGCTCCACAGGGGCATTGACAGGCTGGATGCTGCCCTGAAGAACATGAAAGGTGGGTGAGGGGACCCCAGGACACGACAGGCAGGGTGGTCCTAGGGGCCTGTGAAGGAAGCTAGTGACTGGCAAGGTCTGACCTTGGTGACCAGGGCCAGATGCTGTCAGACCCCATGTTGACAGATCCAGGGCTGCAGAAAGGCCTGGTGGTCCAACATCCCCCAATCACTCCTGTATCCCTGCAGTGTTCACCCAGTTGGACGCCTTTGCTGCCATTGACCACTCCCTGCTGTGGCCACCAGCCATCACAGCAGAGCACGGGGACATAGCCCTCAAGGTAATTCCATCCCAGGCATCCCTGGGGCAGATTTGGGAACCGAGGAGCCTGGTTGAGCCTCACATCCATCCGTCTGTCTGCACAGGGAGAATTCTTCAGGGTGGGCACGTACCAGCAGAGACCCTCAGCACTGCCTGTGGCACTGCCCGTGGCCCTGCCCATGGCAATGCCCACACTGCTGCCCATGGCACTGCCCGTGTCTCTGCCCACACCTCTGTCCACGCTGCTGCCCATGGCACTGCCCCTGGCACGTGAGCCCATGCTGCTGCTGGCTGTCACTGAGTTCGTCGCCAACTCGGCTGCCTTCACGTACTTCACAGCCGGGGCCCTGCGCGGGAACATCTCCAGTGACATGGTAGGGATTGCTGCAGGGCAGAGCTGTCCCTGCTGGGATCCCACCTGGGTGTCCCTGCACCCACCCGTGCCTTGACCCCTGCACCCTGACCCCTCACTGCCTTCCAGGTCCCGCGGCGATTCCCACTCCAGTTGAGGACCAAGAACATGGAGGTCTTCTCCCCACAGGTGTGTAGATTGGGACATGGAGAGAAGGGGATAGCGGGTGGGACAGGGGATATGACAGGATGCAGGTGGGATGGGATGCAGGTAAAATGGGACTGCAGGAGGAACAGAACATGGGATGGGATGCAGAAGGGACAGGTTGTGGGTGGGATAGAATATGAGATGGCACAGAGGTTGACTGGGATGCAGGAGGGACAGAACAGGCTACGTGGTACAGGGTAGGCTGGGATGCAGATGGAATGGGACACAGGCAGAACAGGACATGGGCAGGTGGGGTCCATGGACAGTGCAGGAGGTATTGCCCACTCTGCCCACACCCAGCCCAGGGCAGGGTGGTGATGGGCACAAGGACCCTGGGCAATGGAGGGACCAGTTGGGAGCCTGGGTTGGTGCCCGAGGTGGTGGGAGTGCCAGTGTGGCTCTGTGCCATCCCAGCCCTGTCCCCCCCAGCTGCAGGAGCGTTACCCAGACCAGCCCATGGAGCTACAGTTCTGGGCCCGCCAGCAGCCCCTGCTCTCCTGCCACCCTGATGCCCTGCACGGGACCCTCTTCGGCTCCGCCGAGGCCTTCGTGGTGCTGCCCAATGCCACCCGTGTCCCTGCCTTTCTGCTGAACATTGTGAGTGGCTAATGATTCTTTGGCATGGGGGGCTGGGGGT